GTGAAACTCCATCCAGGGTGTGTGGGGAGCGTGGGGAGCGGGGTATGATTTGCCCAAGCACTGCTTCACTCTCGGTTTATGACGGCGTTCCTCCAATTAACCCTGAGCTGTCTGGCAACGCTGTTCAAATTGGCAGCCCTGACCTGACACATCGAATTTCCAAGTGACACTTTTTGGCCAGCTTGACTTAAAGCATGGCAAAACTTCAGTTCTCTAGTTATAGACTAATTAAGTGCAGTTGTTAATTTGGGATTTGTTTTGACATTGTGCAAATCAGACACAGCGTAGTTCTTTTTACTTCTTTATTGTTCGTCGTGCAAAACAGAACTGCACTCTCTCGTACACAATAATGTTATATCGCGTTGTAATGTTAATGCTTATGTTAAAGTGTGTGAACGACAATGTTATATGGGACTAAGTGATGTATGTATGTGTGCTATGTGTGTTTATCCTGCTACAACATGGACTACCAACTCCTACAGAAGTTTATGCTCTTTCTGATTTGTCAGTTTTTTAATAAAATCTTTTATAGAATTATATTTGGAAAACCTTCAAGCTGAATTCAGCCCGTGACTCTTGCTTTATTCAGCTCTATTTTACGATTTTTTCAGCGAACTTTAAACAAGTTTTGCCAGGTATTTAACCAGAAAATATAAAGATGGGCAGGTTTCTTTGTAAGCATAAATAGTAAACAGTCTTCAGCTGGTCAGACTAAGGGCTAAGCGCAGCCAAGAGAACAAAAGCTGCGACTTTTAATGCTAATAAGCTGTTTTGAGCTTTGCTGTTATGATATCATAGATCATAGCTCAAGTTGAAGTCTTTTCAGTTATAGGTGTTGGCTGAATTATAAATAGAAATAAAGAATAACTATAGTTAATATATTTAACAAGCTCTTTCGCTGTTATTCACGTGTCCCACTTCGACATTTTCCCTTTTCTGCATAGAATTTTCTCAGCACATTCCTGCCTTGTAATTTCTGAGAAATTTTCCAACGTTTACAATTTGCAACTATCCCTATTAGAACACATTCCGCGGCATTCCCTGGGAATTGTGTACAAAGTGCTGGGTAGTTAAATTCTCAATTTAAAGCCGCGAAGACAAACCGCAAATTGAATTAGGCCCCAATGCAGCCGCAGCAAGAAAAACTTGTGTATTCAAAGTAATTTGCAAAGAAATTACATAAAGGAAAACAAGTGCCGGTGCCAACAGGCACACACACACACAACACACACACAACACGCACACACACACTTAACGCCCACATGCGATCCAGAGCGAGCGCAGGCCGCGGTTTGCCAATTTAGCTGAAATAAAACGCCCACATGAACTGCACGATGTCTGCACCACTCTGCACCACTCACTGTGGGGGCAAACCGGCAGCCCAATGCAATTCATTCATTGAACCAAAATAAAAATAAAATAAAATAAAATAAATACAGCGGAAAATTCAAATCAATTTGGCGCAAACCGCAAACCCCAAGTATCCCAGCGATTCGCATAAATCTAATAAAAAACAAAATATGTGTGCGGCGCATGCGTAGCGCGCAGCTGGAGGACGGCTCGAGAGGGGGCTCCCCCCACTTTTGCCCCGCAGTAGCTGCATAATTTTGCAATTTAGATGCATTTCCCAGCGCATTGTTTGAGTCTGAAACGAGTACATTGACTCACAGGCAGAAGACACTCCGTATAGAGCAGGAAATTAATCTGCTTAAAATCCATAAAATAAGCACTAGAATTATGCCTAGGAATTGCTTGCAATATCATAATGGATAATGGTTATGTATGTAGTTCAAGCGGAAAAGAAAGCAACTTTCGGGCGGAAAAGTCTGGAAGCCAGATCCAGCCTGTATATATAAGTACATATAAGATCTTCAACAGGAAGTCTTTCAGTCTGACATTAGAAATTAACAGGATATGCAAATTTTCCAGGCAGATTAATAAATACTTTTGAAAAGGACGTTTATTAAGTATTATATAGAAATAGATTAAAAAGATATTTATGTGCGGTCGATCAAAGGTTAGGAATTAATTAAAGTAAAAAAAAACTTGTATATAAATATATGAAGCATGTTAAGGACTGTTACCTCAGTGCGAGAGTTACCAATAACTTTTGCAGGTAAAGCCTGTTATAAAGTTAACTATTTTGCGGCTTCCTTAATTGTTTCTGCTCTTTTCCAAAGTTATTTCCTATGGAAGTCTTCTCGACAGGGCCCTCCACAGCCTGTTGCATGCATGGCCCTTATTTAGCATGCCTTTATTTGCCCTCTCATTGTTGTGGGTATTTGCGTCAATTGCTGGCCAACTGCTAGACAAAGGTACCCCAGTTGCAACCCCAACTGTTTGCGGCACGAACATTTGTCGGTGGCATCTGCCGCGCTTGCGCTTGACAAGCGACGCGCCAATTGTTCGGATGACATTTTGTAAATTGTTTTTGTGGCCACAAAATGTGGGCGAGAGGGTGTGAGGTTGTCCGCGAGGAAATGCCAAAGACAGGGCGCACTTGTTGCCACAGCAACTGTTCATAATTTGAGCCGTGTGCCACAAGGGGCAAGGGCCCGACTGCGGTCGAGGGTTGCAAAAATTTGCATGGGCACAGCTGCCCATTGCCAGAGCGGCACCTTGTCCACTTCTGCTGGCTACGCTTACGAATTCCCATGACACCGGTCGAAAGTTCAAGCTGTGAAGAGTTCAAAGTTTGTGCCGCACGATAAGGCGGCGGCAGCAGCACCAGCAGCAGCAGCAGCGGCAGCGGCAACAGACAACAACGTGGGCTGTTCCTCCGGGGGCCCCCAGACTGTGCGTCGTGGCTGTGGCTGTGGCTGTCGCTGGCAGCTGGCGGCGGCCCACGCGGCGACTGCGCAGAGAACCTGGCGAAACTATGTAAAAAACGAGGAACGGATATACGAGTGTAGTCGACCATCAAATACCCTATCAGCTGAACAATATGGAATATGAACTGCAACAAGTATACCTCTTCTTGTCAAGCAGTAAAGAGTTTAAGCGTTGCAAAAGTATATATTTGATCCAGGCGTATCATGTTCTGTTGATAGCCAGCTAGGGTATCGCCTGAAGAAAAAATCATGAAAAAATAGTTTGGCTTTTGATTTGCAATAAATAAAGGCAAGCAAAAAGGAAAATAGCTGGCAGACTTTGTGTATTGAGTGTTTTGTCAAGTGGGCATGAATGGAGGCCCAGACGCAGATCGAGCGGCTGCGCTTGTAATCCACTTTACGACGACCGGACGTGGTTCTTGTTGGCGTCGTCGACTTCGCAGTTCCCACTCACAACACAAACAGGAATTGCAGCCTGGCACTTGGCTGGGCTTTTCAAATAGGACGTTGAATGCTTCAGAGTTGCAAAGGCCTCGTGCAATTTCCATATTTTATGGCACTGTCAAGAGGGGGTCATAAAAACCCATATGAAATCCTTCCCGATGTGCAACGTGCTAATCATGTATTCTTCTTCAACAAGTTGGCTTTCCTGCTACTCCCTGAAAGTTCAGAACAAACTCTTTAAGTAGTTTTTAATAGAAAACTAACTTATTATAAATTTAAAGCAATTGTTTTGGTAAATGTTTCGGTTTCAGTTTATAAAATTCCTGAAAAGCTCACTTTTGAAAAGAATCAAGTTCTCTTGTAGAATTGAGTGCCCCATGGAAATCATTATAACTGCTTTTCTCAGCACTTTGCTGCCAAATTGTAAACATTGCAACTGCGTCAACGAATTCTGCTGCTGATTGTTGCACACATTTTTACATAATGTTGACACAGAAAGACAAAGTGCTAATAGAAATAATAAACCAAGCGACCAAATTAAATCAATTAGAGTGCAGCCAAGCGAAGAATTCCTCCGATTGCCTCTTGTGGCATGCAGCGATGCTCAGTGGCTTATGGCAGCTTGATGTGCCCGGCGCAGGGGCAGGGGCAGGGGCAGGGGAGCAGGCGCAGCTACCGATGCAAAAGATAAATGCGAGATATCAAGAGACGACTTGCTGCAACCAAAGATTGGCAGTTACAGTCCGGGGGAACCACAAACGACATTTAATTGACAGTCACAATTTATGCAAACGGTTGCAAAAAATACAACAACAACAAAATAAATATAAATAAATAAACAAGTGCAGAGCTCTGCAAGCCGTAATTGTGACTGTTAAGCGTGGAAATTGCTTTGACGTGGGGCAAACAAATTCAAAAAAAAAAAACAAAAAAAGGCCAACAGGCAAATCAAACTGAGTGACAATATTTATGCATAGCATCTGTGCCGATTTGTTGGAAAAAACTCGAATGGGTTCTAGGATTATAAAAGTAAAAATCTTCTACAATAAAGATGCATAAAAAAGAAACAAAATGGATGATAATTTACATTTTAGAGATTAGATTAGATTAGATTTGTAGATCATATGTGTAATATATCTATTACTTACAAATCTAAATTCATTTATATAATGTACATTTTCTTTCATTTTGTTTCCTTTCTTTGCATTTATTTGCTCCTACTTAATAATTTATATTATAAAATAATTTGATAATATTATTATTAAAATTAAAATTATCAATGATTATATTAGTTAATTGTTAGTTAAATGTACTTGAGCAGATTCTTTAATTTTTCAGTAACTTTTCTCTAGCGTATATACGTATAAATATTTCTATTAAAAAACTTAGAAATATTTCCTATTGATATTCGCCAAAGCTCGACTGTCACAATTTTAATTTTAATTTAAATATCGCTTTCTTTATTATTTGAGTCTGTTAAGAAGTTAATATCTTCAACATTTGATTCCTGTCAGCTTCATAGGCTTTGCCGATCCATAAAAAAGCTCTCCCATTCAGTTTAGTAATAACTTAAGCTTAGACTTTATTACCTTATGTTAAATGCCGCTTTAATGATAATCACTTTTATATGGCAAACTGTAAATACGAAATGAATATGTAAGCCGCATGTTTAGCACATACTCATACTCATTCCTTTTTTTCTTCAATTTTTTGTTCATTTTACAGATCTTCAATCGATTCGACGGCTCTTGGAACACGATGCCAGCGGCTCGGTCTGCCCCTCGTGCCGCATCTCCTTCGACAAGGGCAAGCGACGGAAACTGATCGACACCTGCGGACACGAACGCTGCTATTCCTGTATGTTCCGCAACGATCAGTGCCCCATGTGCATGAACAGCTCGCTGAAAGGTGAGTTGTATCCAGTGTGTCTCTCCTATCTAAGTATCTGCTGGATATGCCATATAAGCCATACAAATATGTGTTGCCAGCAGCCAACCCTCGACAGCTGACTGCAAGGTGTTGGGTCGAGTGTTTTTTTTTTTTTTTTTTGTTGCACTCTTATCTCGGAATGCGCCATTTAAGTGTATATGTTTATGTTTTATTTTTTTATGATTTCCCCTCAATTTGTTCACAAAATACTTTAAAGAGGGAAAACCTTTTTTAAAACAACAGCAAATTACGGATTCTTGACGATCTGTTGTTAAGCGTACCTTTTTGAAGCTTTTAAGTCTGTAAAAAATGGTAATATTATTTTTATAGCTGTAGGACATAATTACAAACTATCAGCAAACTATAACGCGGGCTAGAATTGAAGTAAAATGTTTAAAAAGTTCATTATCCTAATTCGCTCATTTGTGTACTTGCTATATATCGATACTTCACACAATTGTCAAGTACTCACTCACTTAGTTCTTACTTAGAGCCCTACCAAAAAGGCTTTTTAATCTCAATATTGATTTATATATGTTTTGTTAGTAAATGTCATCATTGTGTCATCAAGGACACAGATCGTATAAAGTTGGTCGATAAATTTAGCTTAAATAATACTTATTCCAATTCTAAATATCTTCGCTCGCTTATTTTTGTACTTGCTCTCACAACTGCCTTGTTCTTAAATTGTAATTGTTTTTTTTATTTAATGCCTTTCACATAGAAACACAGTTCGTTAACAATATTTTGATATATTTAGCTAAAATTATATTTATGCTATTTTTAAACATCTTCACTCGCTCATTTGTGGGCTTCCAATATATCGATACTTCACACAATTGACAAGTACTCACTCACTAAGTTCTTACTCAGCCCTACCAAAAAGGGGTTTTAATCTCAATATTGATTTATATATGATTTGTTAGTAAATGTTTATCACATCAAGGACACAGATCGTATAAAGTTGGTCGATATATTTAGCTTAAATAATACTTATTCCAATTCTAAATATCTTCGCTCGCTTACTTTTGTACTTGTTCTCACAATTGCCTTGATCTTAAATTGTAATTGTTTTTTTATTTAATGCCTTTCACATAGAAACACAGTTCGTTAAGAATATTTTGATATATTTAGCTAAAATTATATTTATGCTATTTTTACACATCTTCACTCGCTCATTTGTGTACTTGCTATATATCGATACTTCAGACAATGGCCAAGTACTCGCTCACTAATTGCTAACTCACTGCCCTACAACCCGTTCGAACTGTAACACTTAATTAGCTATGCTAATAAGCTCAGGGCCCGGGGCACTGGCATCGGTCAAGCCAAGCACAAGTTGTACAATATACCATCCCATTACCATAAATAAATCGAAGACAGAAACCACTTACCAGATCATAAATTCACACGGGACGACGACTGTGTACGATGGGCAGCCGGCCAATAAATTCAGCGGCTAGTTGGGCGTGCACAGTGGAGCCATAGAAAATCATGTCAGCATTAACTAAAAACGGGCATAACTTTCAATTTTCATGGGCAATGGGGCAGCGGTACGTCTGTTCAGTCCGATACTTTATGAAGTTAACCGACGAGTACGATGTAAACGTACTTTGCATGCCAAACAGCAAAACACACACAAGACACACAATTGGCATATAAATGGAAACAACAAACGTTGCGGCTTAGAATAACAAATGTTAATGTACTTCTGGTATAAAGGCAGACATAATAATATATATAGGTATTACAGTCAGGTGAAACCTTTGACTAGGCTTTTGCTTTTATTAACACTCGTTGCTTCCTTCGATTTGCATACTGTCAGCTCTATATAAGCCAGCTGCCATATGTATATCATCGCCCCGCGATTTATTAAAACACAATTAATTCTACTATTATTAATCGACCGTCGACGTCCGCATGAGTACAAAATGCTATATATATATTCACAATTGGAGTCTTTTCTACCGAAGATATTCCACATACATATTAAAATTTGAGCTAAAAAAAAAAAGGGAGGTAACTCCTTGTCACAATCCAAATTCAGTCCATATTTGCCCAATATTTACCAAATAAAATCGACAATTAGAAAGTAACGATATATTCGGCACAACGAGGATTTAATACCCTCGAATATGTGTGATATGTGAGAATAGTGAAGCTCGTAAACTAACTGATTGATTTTTGATTTGATTAGATTTTTTTCATGCCCATCGATAGTCGTTAGACTGAAATCCGTTTTCTGTCAAATTCGGTTAAAATAGAAAATTGGATATTTAAATGTCAATGTATAGTAAACATAGTGTAACATTCTAAAATCTAAATCAATTTGCCATAGGTTTTTAGTAATCATTGACCTCTTTGAACCATTAAATTTGTGATGAACTCCTTGTTACATCTGTCAAAGTTTTGAATTTAGAATAAGCTGCCGTAGGAACGATCGGTCGAAAGATTATTTCCAAGATATTTTCACTATTCTCACATAACATCAAAATCATAAGGCAAGGGTATTATATTTTCAGTGTGTCGAAGATATTCTTACTTTTCCGTTTGATATTTGTGATCCAAAGAAGCTAAATTGTATATATAAATAAATTGTATTCAATAATCGTTGCCCAAAGAATAGAATTTAACATTTAAATTGTAATATGCTGTTAATTTTTGAATATTTCTTAGATACCTAATGTGAACTTCAACTTCAACTTCAACTTTTTGCACACCTTGAAGAATAAAAATGTTGTTGGCTTTCTTTCTTTTATTGCTGCTGCCTCGATTACTTATTATTTATCTAACCATCCTCTCTTCTCTGTCTACTCTTCAACATAGATGTGGATGGCGCCAATGCTCAGGGCTATGACACCGGCATCGGGGGCTCCACATCGACGATTGTCAGTCCGTTGGGTTCACCCCAGCCGCAGCTGCGATCCCATGCGCAGCGGAACGCGGCTCTGGCGCGTTATATGCAGGTGAGTGCGTACTGAAAGATACACAGATACAAATGAGTGTGCGTGTGCGTGTGTGTGTTTGTGGAGGCGCATTAGATGCGTGGCGTTTGGACATTTGTCTTCGTGTTGGCCTTAGCGACCAGTTGATTGCACCGGCGACTGGGCCATAGAAATGGAAATATATGAAAAGAATAACAAGAAAGGCCACGAAAGTTCATTTTGTAACTGCCGAAACGACTTTATTATTACCATCGCCGCATTTCCGTTCATCTTTATAAGGCGAGGCGCCTCTTTTATCTGCCAACTAAACTTATCCGTTATGCCCCAACACTTTTGGCTCGTCGAAGCTGCCCCAAAATGTGGCACAATGTGGGCGAGGCGACGACTAAGCTCCGTTAATTGGCCATTGTGTGGGGAGCTAAGTGACAGCAAAGCGTATTATTGAACCAGCTCGTAAAACGTTTGATTTGCTTTTAATCAGGCCATAAGCGAGTGTCAAACAATTTGTTTTACGATAATGCAATTTGAATATTCCAGTTCCCATTGACATTATATTGAACTCTGGGTGGGCAAGCGGTGTCAGAGCGTGGCTAAAAAGGTTTTGGACCGCTTCAACTGCGCTCTTTTATGACTTAATCCCAATAAACTATATCAGCTGCATAAATCATGCCCTATATATAGAGAAAGAACTATATATTTCATCATTTTCTGCTTCAAGCTAAATGTAGGGATAATGTCAAGGAAAAATAGAATATGTATTTATATATATAAATATAAATATTTCTTATGCTCATTTTTAAAATATTTAGAGAAAGAAATATTTAAAGAAGAAAGCTTCGTTGAGCAAAAAAGAAAGACAACAATTAGAAGAAAATAACTCTCGCAAGCACTTGAAATGATTTTTAACTTTCGCACAAAAAAAAAGCTAAAAATCAATTTACATGTCGGATTTGGGTTTTATATGCTTTTCATGTTTTTCAATTAATTTAACTATTTTCAATGGTGTTTTATTTTGTTTGAAATTGTTTGTTTGGCTGTCCTTTTCGAGTGTCGGCTCAAAGTCCGCAGCTACTCGGTACGTCCAGTTCGTTGTCATGTCCAACATTTGGCACATTTTATGCTCGCTTATGCGAGCATTAACAGACTTAAGTGAAATCCCATGTCACGTGTCAGAGCAGAGAGCGGGCCGAAACAGAAAATTGAAATCAATTGGGAATCGCCGCACTGAAATAAATACCAAGTCGAATGTTCATGTTCATAAATATGCTGCGAAAAGTAAAACAGTTTTTTTTTGGGGCTGGCTTAGAAAGCAGAAGACACCGCCACGCTCGTTTTGGGGCGAGGAGCCAGCCCGGGCTGAAGAGCTGTCAGCTCGTCCGGCTCCGGCACTTGAGGCGACTCCGAGTCGACTTGAAGCAACTGCCTGGCACTGCCTGACCCAATTTCCCATCTTGGCAATAGCATCCACATCCACAATCACAGCCACAGCCACATCTTGGCAGCCAGCGCAAAAAGCAAACTGTCAGTTCAGCCATTTGACAGTCGCTTTTGCGATACACAAGCGCAGATATGAGATACGACTACGAGTACGACTGAGAGTAATCGTATCTTTGGCTACCAACCAGCCAGGCCTCGCTCGGCCTATCTGTGCCGGCGATCTGCTCCTCCAGCGTCTGGCGGCGGCGCCCCACCAATTGAATCTTTTGCGCCGTTTTGGCGTATTTAAAGTGACATTCGCTGACAGTCGGGCCCCCAACTCCCGATGCGCCTTGTCCCAAGATGCCCAGATACAATGCGGCCGATCTGCCATGCAGGAAGCGACATTGCAGCTGAAATCAAATTAAATTAATTACGTGGAAAGTGATTGCCGTAATTGTTTTGTAGATCCAAAGGTCTAATATATACTGTTGACCTTTAGGCAATTACGAAACCCGCCAATTTGGCATGTACTTTGCCTGGGCAACGATTAGATTAATATCAATGCCGAAAATCTGTAAAATCTATATCTTGATTTTATAGTATTATTATTGTAGTTAATTGCGCAGCGACTACTAAATGGGATGATTTATAAACTAAAAAAAATTGGAATTAATTTCAATTTCATTTAAATACATTTTTTCATAAATATATTAAGCGAAAAGCTTATCTGTAGACGAATGTTATTTTTATCAATTTTTATATTCTATTGAGACATTTGATTTGTTTTATAGAACACGTTAAATTTTGTAAGTATGATAGTTCTACGACTCACAAACCAAGCTTTTCTCTGTACTCTTTTGGTTTGAATTTATTCGATGTGAGTTTTATTCCTTTTTCGATTTCTTCTCTGTGGCCTTTTGAGCCGAACAATGCCTGCATTTGTTTATAACTGAACTACAGCTAAATATCACACAGTTTCATATAGTACATATGCTATAATATGTGAGAGAGGCCATAAAATGTCTGACACCTCGTTCAGTCCATAAACAGAATACAATTCGATCTATGCACAACAAGTTAAATAGATAAAAAAAAGAAGAAACTTTCCTTTCGAGTTGATTTGACTCGATTTGATTTGATGATGCGCCCGGAAAAGTTGCTCATTGCCGGCAATTGAATTGAATTGAGTTTATGGCTGACCATAAGTCGAACGCAGCCTGACTCAATGAGTTATCATTGTCTTTGGCCAAGTGGAGCAAATGGCTCTGGCAAATGGCTGGCAACTGGCTTTTCTCCTTATACGAGATATGGTTACGGTTATATCGGAAGTGTGTCAGCGATTGGTTGAGCAGCTAACCAGCAAGCACTTTACATAACTTTAACCACGACTATCTACGAGTATCCGCGAGTATCTGCAGGTATCTGCAAGTATCTCAGTCCAAACCAGAAGTCGTTTAAGCAATTACAAAGTTTGCCGTGTGGACGGCAGCTGTGGGGCGTGTTTGGCTCCGAGAACTGTCATTAGATTAAGTGGCAGCTCACTGCGGTGGTTATCCTCTCTGGCTAATTATCGTTTGGAAATCGTGTTATTAGTAGCTGCACCACCACCACCACCACCAAAAAAAACGGGCAAAAAAACAGAAGTATCTCAAAGTTTGTGATTGACACGCGCAGGCGACAAATCAACTTGCAACTCGCAAGTTGCAACTTGCAACTGGCAACGACAGCCAAAATGTTGTTGCCTTTTGATTCAAATTCAAATCGTTTGCATTAAAAATGCCATAAAAGTCGCTCGCAAAACCATTTTGGCCACATTCGAAAGCAAAACTCTGGCGATTTTTATCGCGCATGCAATTTACTTTTGGTCTGTGCGCCGTCTAATTGTCAACGCTGGCAACACCAACAACAACTACAACAACAACAACAACAAATATGGCGTTAATTATCCACAATTTTGATAGCATCACGTATCCATGATTAACACAAAAAACGCAATCAATCAAATGTATCTTTTACTCTGAGGTATGCGAAACATTGTAATTGGTAACTGAATGCAATTGCCGCAGTTGCTTTGCGATTTCGGAAGATTTATATTATTTATGCGAATGTGACACCTGTACACGATCCCAGCCAGACTCGAACTGACACCTTTTTTCACAGCTGGCCCACCGCAGGGCAATTAATCGATTGTGACTTCTCAGGCGACTAAATTTGGCTAGGAGTGGAATCTTGAATGTTGTATGACCTTAAGCTATTGCCATACCCTCAATTAACTGATGAAAATGTTTGTAATAGGCGGAAGGAAGCATCTCCTACCCCATAAAAGTATTTATAGTCTTGGACAGTAGGTACATATACAACATTTTGGTGATTACTAGATCAAAATTATTAAGAAACATCGATTTTCGAGAGTCGGAGCCTAAAAATCGATGTTTATCGATTGATAGTAGCGATTCTCACAAATTCAAAAAGGCATAACATTCCAAATTCAGACGTTATTTACCCGAGATATAAATCATGAAAAAAATTATCTGATTTTCGACCCGAAATTTAGATTTCGATTTTTTGAATGTCAATCTTTAATACTTTTCCTTACGATTCAAAAATTGTAAGCCATAAAAAAAATGTACATTACTTGGCCGAGATAATCAAAAAAATCATCAAAAAAGTTTGAGATCACAAACGAAGCGTTTTTGTCAAAAACTTTAATTTACCCCTTGGATTTTTGATTTGATTGAATGCCAATTGATAGTATGGATCCCTACGATAATTATCGATCTAAAGCTTCATTGTTGATCGATTTGCCGAATCTTATGTAATTTAACTTATGTGCTTAACTCTAAAAATCAAACAGAGTGAAACGAGCGAGCTGGGATCTATCAACTCAACTGAGTTCTACAAACTCAGCCTGCCACTTGTTGAGTAGGCATATACATATGTATGTACTTATGGGCTTCTGTCTGTTAATTTCATTTGCACGAAACCGCTATTCGCAATGGGCATAATAATATTTATAGATCACACTTTACTATACTTCCATTTAGAATCTGATCACTTTCACTTATCCATTTACTTATTCGTATGCACAAATACGAATTTTCCTCGAATCAAGCACTTGAACAATTGAATGATCAATTCACTTAATTGCACGATTGCTAACACTATTATAAACTTAATGTTGAAAGGCTTGTGATTTGCCGGTGTTGTAAACAGCGTGAATATTTGCAGCGCCACCTGCCGGTCGGTATGTGTGGCCCTCTAATTAACACGACAACGGGCAATTTATCAATTTTATCGATAGAACCTCTAAAACAATAAGCGTCCACTAAGCCACAAGCTAATTAGTCGCAGTGCTTTCAATGTAGTTGTGGACCAGGCCAATTGCAAATGAATAACCCCGTCGGGCAATTGTCGAATGCCCCCCCCCCCTCACCCCTCCCCCTTCACCCGCTCCCCACGGTTAATGGCCAGCTGCGAGCTGTTTATGCTGGCCACAATATGTTTTAGCATATACTCGCGTGCACTATGCAAATGAACCAACCGCACCACAGTCTACGCTATAAGTTTCTTTACCTCTGGATTTGCTGTACCTGTTGCCAGCC